AGTGTTCCCTTTATTTTTTTGAGCAGTAGTGTTCCCTTTATTTTTTGAGCAGTGTATATATATATATCTTTCAGCAAGGCTATAATCATAATATATATAGCTTTCAGCAAGACTATAATCATTATAATAGGTATAGCTTTCAGCAAGGCTATAATCATTATAATAGGTATAGATATGCATTTTTGTTGCTGTGTTTTTGTTACCTCTGTTTCTGTAGGTGTGCAGCCAAGATGTCGGGTGTGTTGTCTTGTGTTTTCTATATATACATTTCACATATCTTCTAATCTCTCTTTCACTCTTTCCTATTACATTTCACAATTTTTTCTTCTCTTACTTTTTCTTCTTAAAAAAAAGAAAAAATCAATGATGATGAAACTAATATTCAGTTCTGCTTTCTACTGAAGTGGCTTAAAAAAAAGAAAGCTGTTCTGCACAGTCCTTCAGAACTCGTCCAGGGATGTTGTCAGGACCAGCTGCTTTGTGAGGGTTTATCCTCTCGAGAGTATTCCTCATTTCTGCTGGGCTCACGATGATGGACTCTGGTGCAGGGTCGAGTGTGATGCTGGTGGAGGTGCTGGGATCCTCGAAACAGCTGTAGAACCTGTTCACAGCATCAGGTAGGGAGGGGTCGCCAGGGCACTGTGCACRTCTGGTGTTATAGGCTGTGATGCATTTAATGCCCTGCCACATGCTGCATGGGTCCTGGGAGATGAAGTGGCCCTGGATCTTGGTGGCATATGCGGCTTTTGCTCGTTTAGCTCTAGATTTATCCTTGCTGCCCTTAGTGATTGTGCTTCTCCTGATCTGAATGCATCGTTGCTGGTCTTAAGCAGAGCCCGGACCTCTCCATTCAGCCAGGACTTCTGATTTGGGTTGTGCCTTACTGTCTTTGTGGTGGCAACATCCTTTCCCCGCTTTTGTTTATGCTYGCATCTCTTTTGTTTGATCTGTTTCAGTCCACTACTCCAGTCAGTGACCCTCAAAAGCTGAAGTTCTCATAGCAGCACTATCAGTCCTGGGTCAAATGCTGTTGAGGTCGGTCCCACACTTAAAAGTTTTTGYCGAGTATATACAACACGAAAAAGCTGATCTTCGGGAGCTGTGCTAGCCACTGCACTGCTGCGCACCACCATCTTGGAAATTAAATTAAATTAAATTTAATTAAACAAATTAAATTAAATTAAATTAAACAAAAATTAAAATTAAATCATATAAAATTTTTCTAAAACTCTTTCACTATCTAGGTGCTAAATTCAATATGTGGCTGCTATGTTTAGCTTTTTATGCCAATTTTACCTTTTTTTCTGATATTTTAGCCTTAATCCTGCACCTATCTGCTATTCTTCTGCTTCTGTCTGCTAATTTGTGCTATTCATGCTTCTTACAGACGCTTTCTGCTATATTCAGATATATATATAGTTCAGCTGTTATTAGCTAAAGTCAGATTTTTTAAGCCAAAAACACTTTCTTTTTGTAGATATCACTTTTTTCTGCTAAATTAAGCAAACGTGTGCTCCTTATGCTAATTCAAACATTTCCAGCTACTTTTATGCTGTTTTACTGCAAACTTGATCTGTTTTAGCTATTTTATTCCAAATGATCACTTTTTATTAGTTTCCTGCTGTTTTTTTCTACTAATTTTAATATTTTTTTACACTTTCACCATCCGGTTGGTGATTTCCACTTGTGTGTGCTACCTTTAGCTCATTTTTATGCACAGTTCAGCTATTTTTTTACTATTTTAGATAAAATTCTGCTTCTTTCTACTATTCTTCTGTTATTTTCTACCTTTTTTGTGTTTCTTTCTACTAATTTGAATTATGTTAGTTGATTTATGCACAGTTCAGCTATTTTTTTTTACTATTTTAGATAAAATTCTGCTTCTTTCTACTATTCATCTGTTATTTACTACATTTTTTGTGTTTCTTTCTACTAATTTCAATTATGTTAGTTGAGTTATGCTTTCTGCTATATTCAGTTATTTTAGCTTTTTTCTGCTATTTCAGATATATTTTTTCTTCTTTTTTCTCTTCTTTCAGCTTTTCATATTTAACTCACATTAACACTTTTGCTATTAAACATTTTATTTTATTAAACTTGAAAAAAATCCAACTAACCTTTCCATTTTGTCATTATGTATTTTGTGTAGAATTAGTGACAAAATGAATTCACTGTATTTTGGAATAAGGGTGTGACAAAAGTTATTAAATTAAACTTCTGGATTGCTATCAGGTGAAAATGTGAAGAGTTGCCCAAGTGGCTCTATWTTTGTACCGAGACAAACCACAAAATGTTAAAGACACAAAGATGTAGGTCCTGAACATTTATGCATGTTTATTCAGATCTTGATGTTATGCCTCTCCTCTATCAGCTACGTTCACCCTTTAATCTCAATGATTGTGAGGCTGAACAGTCAGCATGTCTCTCAAATGTTGCAGGAAATCATAGCCTCGTACAGAAGCTTCCTCCCAAACAGAAGCATATCAGTTTGTTTTACTCCTTCTCCACTTTCTGTACTAGATCCAGATCCATTAATGCTCCTGGACACTGGACAAGCTGTGAGTTGAGGTATAATATCACATGTGTTAAAGCTGCTGTCAGTATCGCTATCACTGATAATCACAGTCCTGGCCATGTCCCTGCCAGTCATAAATATAAGGAGGTACAAACAAGATTAATCAGGGTTTAACAGAGAAGAACACGCTCCAGTCTGARACGGTCCTCTAAGCAGAACCATGACTGTTTTAAGGACATCAGAGTTGGGTCTGCTGGCAGTCATCTGATGTCCATCACTATGACTGTTTTGTCTCTGATGCCTGGCTTTCTAGTGCTTCTGGCTCTCTGTAACCAGCTAGTGGGAGCAAGCAGATCAGAAGAGATTGAAGATCTGGGTTCTCACCTTAGACGTCTCTGGCTGCTGCACATGAGAGAAGTCCTGCTAAAAGGTGAGCAAACCTACGTTCCTCTTATCCTCAGGGAGTGGGGAGTTATCAGTCAGACAAAAAGCTTTTCTGTGTCTGTGTAAAGCTTGTTTGTTTAAAGGTACTTCTCACACAAATGTTGTTTTATTGAATGTCTKTTATTTATTTAAAATTGTTCAAGGATTTTATGCTGTTTACGAAGTACAGCGGTGTAATCTGGTGCTACGATCCTCACTACCACCATCTGTTTTGTTATATAGATTGAAACCTAAATGTTTCATTGGATTCAAATTTTCTCTGTCTTCATCGATAAGCTTTGGACGCGATAAGCAGACAATTTGAGCTGTCACATTTGTTTTGGTGTCAAAAGTAGGTCAGCTGGTTGTTGTTRTTGTTTTGGCTCAAAATCAAACACAATTTGAGGTCAAATAGATATGATGTTTAATGTTCTGGAAGAATGTCTATTTTAACACCAAACCCAATCCATGAAACTGTGTAGAGACATACAAGTAGCACAAAGTCAAGATCAGAGACAGCAAGGAAGTGTATCGAAAGAAGCTGAGAGTAAATTGCAGAGGGAAATTATCAGAGGTATCAATATTATCAGTGGTCAGGGATGAAGAACATCACAGGCTTCAAGCAAAACGGAGGATTGGAAAGATGGAAGTCTGGACAGAGCAAATGAGCTGAACATATTCTTCAATAGGTTCAGTTTGGGAACAAGCTCAGGATCCTTCTCTCCTGCCCCTAGCCAAACAGACATCCCACCCTCCTTTGACCCACAGCTTTCCTGTCAATCCTCAGATGYTTTATGTTCTACCTCAGTCATGGACTTTTATGCTTCCACAAGTTTGTCTTCAACAAAATCAGGAGATGCTACTGTTGAGAAGGTTCCAGTGTTGTGGAAGACATCCTGTCTGATTCTGGTACCATAGAAAACTCAGCCATCAGCCCTAAATGACTATAGACCTGCTGCCCTGACATCCCACATCATTAAGGTCCTCGAGAGACTCCTTTTGGCCCACCTGAGTAAGCAAACGAGCACACATCAGAGCCTAGGATGCTAAAAGAATAATATACTGTATAATATTATATAACCCAACCATTGCCCTGTTTTTCAGCTAGAAATAAGTGCACCACTCTTCTTCCATTTCCTCTTGCTTTACACTGCAGTCTGCAATGTTATATGC